CTCTAAAAACAATAATAATCGGCAAGGTTTTGTTGCCCCTCTGGAGCTCTAAAAACAATAATTACCGGAAGGTTTTGTTGCCCCTACGGAGCTTTAAAAACAATAATAATCGGCAAGGTTTTGTTGCCCCTCCGGAGCTCTAAAAACAATAATAGTCGGCAAGGTTTTGTTGCCCCTCCGGAGCTCTAAAAACAATATTTATCGGCAAGGTTTTGTTGCCCCTCCGTAGCTCTAAAAACAATAATAGTCGGCAAGGTTTTGTTGCCCCTCCGGAGCTCTAAAAACAATATTTATCGGCAAGATTTTGTTGCCCCTCCGGAGCTCTAAAAACAATAATTACCGAAAGGTTTTGTTGCCCCTCCGGAGCTCTAAAAACAATTATAGTCGGCAAGGTTTTGTTGCCCCTCCGAGGCTCTAAAAACAATAATTATCGGAAGGTTTTGTTGCCCCTCCGGAGCTCTAAAAACAATAATTACCGGAAGGTTTTGTTGCCCCTCCGGAGCTCTAAAAACAATGATAAGTCGGCAAGGTTTTGTTGCCCCTCCGATGCTCTAAAAACAATAATTATCGGAAGGTTTTGTTGCCCCTCCGGAGCTCTAAAAACAATAATTATCGGCAAGGTTTAGTTGCCCCTACGGAGCTCTAAAAACAATTATAGTCGGCAAGGTTTTGTTGCCCCTCCGGAGCTCTAAAAACAATAATTACCGGAAGGTTTTGTTGCCCCTCCGGAGCTCTAAAAACAATAATAGTCGGCAAGGTTTTGTTGCCCCTCCGGAGCTCTAAAAACAATTTTTATCGGCAAGGTTTTGTTGCCCCTCCGGAGCTCTAAAAACAATAATTACCGGAAGGTTTTGTTGCCCCTCCGGAGCTCTAAAAACAATAATAGTCGGCAAGGTTTTGTTGCCCCTCCGGAGCTCTAAAAACAATAATTACCGGAAGGTTTTGTTGCCCCTACGGAGCTCTAAAAACAATAATAGTCGGCAAGGTTTTGTTGCCCCTCCGGAGCTCTAAAAATAATAATTACCGGAAGGTTTTGTTGCCCCTACGGAGCTCTAAAAACAATAATAGTCGGCAAGGTTTTGTTACAAACCTTTTGTTACCCCTACGGAGCTCTAAAAACAATAATTATCAGCAAGGCTTTGTTGCCCCTACGGAGATCTAAAACAATGATAATCGGCAAGACTTTGTTGCCCCTACGGAGATCTAAAACAATAATTTTTGGCGAGACTTAATTTCTACTATGGAACTCCTAAATTAATTAGCGGGACTTAATTGCCGATACGGAGATATGAAAGAATGTCTTCATCCAAATGACTGAAACGTTTGGCACAAAACCCGTAATGACTCAGGCTTAGTTTTTCAATCCATCCTTTTTATTTGAACCAATCAATATCGGAAAGTTTTGTTTACCCATCGTTGGTTCAACATCTTTACTTCGCGTTGTGACCCTTTTTTGGTGCGTTTTTACAGTTTTTAATCAGTGAAAAACTTGGATTTTTCTCGGGAGGAGGGTCTGGAATTAAATCAGAAAAGGATTAAGAGTCGAGATAATGGTAAAAAGAATCGTCTTCTTTCCCATACGTTTTAATTGAAACGTTATAGCTTCCGCCCATCGCGCGGGAGGGGTGTGAATTGAGTTCAGAAAAGGATATATAATACCGGTAGTCGAGATCGAGACGAATCGTCTTCTTTCCCTAATAATTTATTAAAAACGTCTAAGCTTCGGCGCTTCCCTTGGAATTCAGAAAAGGATAAAGAGTCAAGAACGGTACAACGAATAATCTTCTTTCTCTAATAATTCAATGAAACGTCAAAGGGGGAAACTCCCCCCCCCCCCCTCCAGCTCCCCCCCACCCCCCCCCCCCAATTTTTTTTTGAAAAGCATTTTAAAGAGAAATAGAAAGAAAGAGAGCAAGAAAGAAAAAATAGTTAACAACCAGTTTCTCAACAAAATAAGGTATCAAAAATCGCTCATCTGATCGTAATTAAACGCCTAAAACCCCTGAGCTTCCGTGGGCTCTGCCCCCGGGACCCAACCAAGGGCCCTTTGGCAGGCCTCTTGATACTCATCTGACTGCAATTTAGTGCCTAAAACCCTTGATCTTCTGGGGGCTCCGCCCGCTGGACCTCACGCCAATCAGTGTCCTGCCAGTGTCACAAATAAAATATAAAAACATGTTCATCTGACCGTAATCAAAATAATGCTTAAACCCCTGAGCTTCCGGGGGCTCTGCCCCCTGGACCCCACTGGATGCTAATCTGACGGTAATGTAATGCTTTAAACACATGGGCTTCTGGGGGCTCCGCCCGCTGGACCTCAAGCCAATCAGCCAGTGTCACAAATAAGGTATAAAAATATGTTCATCTGACCGTAATCAAATGCCTGAAACCCCTGAAATTCAGGGGTTTCCGCACCCTCAACTCCACTAGGGGCCCTGAGGCGGGCCCCTGAATGCTTATCTGACCGTAATTTGCCTTCAACCCATGAGTTTCCGGGGGCGAACAAGGTATCAAAAGATGTTCATCTGACCGCAGGCACGTAGCCGGGGGGGGGGGGGCAGTGGGGGCGCCCCCCAAAAAAAAGCCAAAAAAAGAGAGGAGAGAAAAGGAAAAGGACGTATGAAGAAAAAGGAGCAGACAAAAAACATTTTTGAAATTCAGACAAGGATTAAGAGTCGAGAACGGTACAACGAATCGTCTTCTTTCTCTAATGATTTAATGAAACATAAAAGCCTCCGCGCTTTGCGCGGGAAGGGGAAAACTGTATTCATGCAGGCGAGATTATTTTCGAGAACGGTACAACGAATCGTCTTGTTTCTCTAATAATTAAATTAAATGTCAAAGCTTCCGCGCTTCGATCGCGCAGGAGGTGGGGTAACTGAATTTAGACAAGGATTAAGAGTCGAGAACGATACAACGAATTGTCTTCTTTCTCTAATGATTTAATAAAACGTAAAAGCTTTCACGCTTTGCGCGCGCAGATGGGGGGGGGGGAAATGAATTCAGACGAGGATTAAAGGTCGAGAACGGGACAACGAATCGTCTTCTTTCTCTAATGATTTAATGAAACGTAAAAGCTTCCGAGCTTTGCGGGGGAGGAGGGGGGATGAATTTAGACGAGGATTAAGAGTGAAAAACGGGACAACGAATCGTCTTCTTTCTCTAATGATTTAATGAAACGTAAAAGCTTCCGAGCTTTGCGGGGGAGTGGGGGGGGGATGAATTTAGACGAGGATTAAGAGTAAAAAACGGTACAACGAATCCTCTTCTTTCTCTAATGATTTAATGAAACGTAAAAGCTTCCGCGCTTTGCGCGGAGGGAGGGGAACTGTATTCAGACGAGCAGGCACGTACACAGGGGGGGGGGGGGGTTGGGGCATTAAACCCCCTCCCCTTGGGGTTTTTTTATGTCTGTATTTTGGAGCAACCCCCCCCCCTTTTTTTTTTAAATGATACACACACAAAAAAAAAATTATGCCAATGGCTGATCTAAAAAAGGAGTCCACCTCACCCCCACCCCTCCCCCCCCCCCCCCATCCCAAAGGGAACAAAATGTCAAATTTTCAAATTTCGAGACCAAAAAAAAAAAAAAAAGTGTCCTCTTACCACCCTCCCCCGCTTAATCATCGGCTGGCTGAGTCGTTGCGATTTTTTTTGGGGACAAAAAAAAAAGTGGGCCCCCCCCCCCCCTAAGGAAGAAATCCTGGATCCGCCCACGGGTGCACATATTCCCCCCCCCCCCCCCACCTTGAAAGCAACGGCGTGAGGTGATTTTTCGCGCACTTTCCACGTTGGCCTTAGTGCCCCTTAGGATAGATTTGTGCCCCTTTCAGTGGATTTGTGCCCTCTCAAAAAAGTGGCCTTGACCCAAATTTGATGTAATTCGAGGCCTGGTTATGTCAAGTGGAAAACACTCCGTCCCTCGGATAGGACGTTAAATGGAGGCCCCGTGTACAGGAGAGTCACCACCCTTGCACGTTAAGAACCTATTGCACTATTCGTATAAGAGAAGGGGGAAACCCCGGTGTAATGGTCCACCTGCACACCCCAATCAGGCCGAGTATACGGCATCTGCAAGAATCTTCAGTATTGAAGGAGGCAGATTATCTTGAAGAAGAAGAACTCTTGTAAAGTTTGAAGACTCTAAGAGGCCAGCATTTTTGTAACGCAAATCGCGTGTTTGCCGTGTTAGCTTTATTATCATTAGAAGTGAGTACATTTTGTGGAAAATCAGGGTTTGGGCGAGTACGTAGTACACAGGGAATAGGGATTAAATGCTTATGTACATGCACATTAATTAGGATGGATTGATGCCTACAGGTTTGAACTTTGATGATAACTTCATTAATCACCAAGTCCAAGGTATGTCAATAATCAGTAGGGGCGCTGGTCCGAGAATACGGATCGTCTGCATAAACGAGTATCGTCTTTGAAAACGCGAACAGATAGACCTACGTCCGCAAAAATAAGAATCCGTATTTTCGCAGAAGTTTCATATTTTTGATCCGCACGTTGGCGATGTGAAAAACGGATTACACGCCATAAGCACCGTTTTTATTATTATTATTGTTCAATTTTACGAGCAATAAATCCTCAAGAAGATGGACAACTCTTAAAAGTAAACAGTGCACTGGGGTTATTTTCTTATGCGGAATCCGTTTTTTGGCATCGCCAGCCCGCAGTTTGGGAACCCTAGACCCGCAGAGCGTCAATGAAAAGAAACATCCACGAAAATGCGGAAGATCCTTATTTTTTAGGACGCAATTTGTCCGTGTTTACAAGGATATCCTCATTCTCGGACCTACTGATCATGAATTATAAAATTTGAAAAATCTTAAAATTAAAAATTATCAACATTTCAATTTTTATTAGGGCCTAGATCTAGAGTCTATATTCAGTTGATTCATTCAATCAAAACTCCAACTGCCTCGTAACAAAACATTGTGATGAAAATTGAAATGATTTTTCTTGAGAATCATTATGATTATCTGCAATCTTACCAAATAAAAAGTGAGGGGCAAGCACAACAAAATTATCCACAGATACAAGTGGAGTGTGTTGCAGAAAATTCCTTGATGAGGGTCAAAATACCATCCGCCAGTTACTGAACCCCACAGTCCTTGACGGATAACTTCTAGAGTATGCGAACCCATAGTATCACATTTCCCTGCATGCTGACCCGTTCCAACGGGGAGAAGACTTCACCTAAGGCCTTCCTATGTTGTTTGACTGTCAAATTTCACTGTCATTCACAAGGAGATTTAAATGTTTCCGAGGCAAAACTCCGCAATTCACATCAATTCGCACATTCATTACAGCGCAGCCATTTTACAAATACACATCCGGATATTCTCACGTAGTAAAATTGCGAAATATATCACTGCTAAATAAGGTCATCTTGAGTGCTGCGGTAAAAATTACTCAAAGCGCTAAAATCTATGGGTGCTAAATTCATACTACATTGTACATGTACTGTACGTCGACGCAACGGTCGAGTGCAGAGCTGAGAATTATAGATGCAAGCAAGTTGCTGCTAATCTTCTCAAACTGCCAGTGGAGTAATGAGCGAAAATTTGGGGGGTCAGAACGAAATCTGCATCATCACCAAGTGGGGCGGCGCGGCGGTGCGTCTTCCAAACAGGGGGCACCCCAAAAAGGGCACTTTCTGGATAAAAAAAGGGGCACTACAAAGGGAAACATGAAAAAAAACATTGGCATGTACCCCTACATAGTCATGATTGTGATTACAATACCAGGGATGACATCAATATTTGTTCTGTCTTTACGTGGTACAAGATAAGCAACATAGTTTACTTTGCAGTGATGGGTGTGATGATCTAAATATTAATTTCGAGAGGGCGAAGCGAGCGAGTAAAAAAATTACATCTTTATAATTATCAAGAAGTCAAAAAAAAAAGAAAACCTGGTGAGTGTTAAGAACTATCTAATTAAGAAAGCTTGAAAAGTTCTTTTGTAAGGCGTTAAAAAAAAGATGTTATATTGCCGTTTGCGACCGACCCCAAAATGTAATATAATGCACGGTCGGCTTTTTTTTTTTTTTTTTTTTTTTTAATTAACCGTTTTTAGAAAAATAAGATATAAATGTGTAAAATCATCAAATTATTCTCAAATTCTCACTCGTCTTCTGCCCTAGTTTCGAAGTCAAGTAGACACCGGCCCCGTCTACGAATACCATGCACTGCACCAGCTAGAAACCAGCCAGTTTTGGGGAGCGACGGTTGCTGTTTTGAGGGGGCAATACAACATCTTTGTTGAAGGAAAAGGGCACCTATCAGATTTTAATAGGGGCATTCATCAAATGTAAAAAGGGGCATTTTGCAAAGGGGGAGTGGCTCATATAAAAATGGAAAAGGGGCACTTGTCCGAAGGAAATATGGTACTTATTAGAAAGGAAAAGGGGCACGTGTCAAAATGAAAGGGGCACTTATTAGAAGTAAAAAGTGGCATTTCTCGCACTTGAAAAGAGGTACTCAGAAAAGAAAAGGGGCACTTTTCCTATGTAAAAAGGGGCACTTTGGGGGTACCTGAAAAAGTGGGGGCACAGTTCTCCCCCCCCCCCACATGGAGTGCCGCCTCTGGCATAATTTTTTTTTGTGTGTAAATCACTGGTATCGAATTAGAAATAAATTACGTTTGAATTTTATTTGGGGGTCAACTGCCCCCCCCCCCCAATCAGTACGCCAGTACGCCAGTATGCAAGCTGCTATATATACAACCTATCACGAAGATGATAAACTAAATCTACAAGCAGAGTGAAGAAGACAGACTTTTCAGGTGCAGTAGGCATTAAACATTGATCTTCGCCGGCGTGCGCCCCAGTTCTAATTTTTTTTTTAGAAAGATTCCATCCCAAGTTCAGGTACATTTCACCTCGACAATTACGAAATTTATTTAGGCACACATACGGCGGCAGTGAAGGGTTTTCATATCCTGTCTTATTTTGATGAGTCCCGTATAACATTCTAGACTCGCTCGCAAAAATTTAAAAGGAGACATAATTAGTAAAGACCAACTAGCCTACTACAGCAAAATAGATGCCACCCCCTCCAAACAAATTGTGCCTGTAAACGTGGTTTGCTTTTTGGATACACCGTGGTAAACGATTCGTGTAATTTGTATCATGCCGCAGGACCAACATTCGTCATAAGGGTTAGAGTTAGAGATAAAGACTAGCCAAGAAAGGGAGTTGGAAGAAATGTGAACAATGTTAGGAACCACTGGCTCACTTTACGATCACTTCTCTCCCCTCTCCTTTTCTTTTTTGCAAGTCACTCTTCTGATTTCTTATTTTAATTGTTATTGTTGTATCTAAGTTGAGGGCTGTAGGCACGTCAAGCTACTTTGCTTATTTTGTAGCCCTCCTCCATATAATGTATGGTAATTATGCATTCAATATATTTGTTTAATTTAGTATTTTATCTGTATCAAATGATATACACTTGAAATATTGTATCAAACTATATTATGTTCATGAAAATGTATGATGAAAAAAAAAAAGATGCAGAAACCAATAAATCGAATCAAGTAAACAAAAAACTACAATCTTGTACATCGAACATGCCAATAATTATCTTGGGAAAAGGTATGTGGTAAATTAGTTCCCCTAATTATATTGCTGTGTACCTGGTTCTCATTTTGATTGTCATCGTGGTGGTCATACTCTTCGCCATGGGCATGGCAGTCGTTCTGCTAGCCATCATCCTGATAGTAATCCTGGTTGCTACCAACTCGGGAGTCACTGTGTCTGCCATCGTCCAGGGGGGTGTTTCACAAAGATCCTAAGTTGAACTTATCTCTAAGTTGGACTTAAAAAATATGGAAAGCCATTAGCATCTTTGAAAATATTTTGTAAAAGTTATTTTGAAAGGCATTCATTGTTTATTGAAATCATTCATATGTTCTATCATCAAGGAGATTTCATGTTCTGGATGTGGAATTAATAAAAAGTCTAAAATACTTGAATTTCTGCTTTTGAATATATTTCATTTAAAGACTCCAACGGCTGTCCATAATTTTTAAGTCCAACTTAGAGTTAAGTTCTACTTAGGATCTTTGTGAAACACACCCCAGGTCGCATTGATATTTGTCACCATCATTATTTTCCCCCGAAGTCATCACCGTGGCCGTCATCGCAGTCGTCACAGGATGGTCACCTGTATAATAATGACAACTCTCTCCAAACCCGCAACAGATTCAACAGATATTTGTCCACACAATACATCCGGTCAATGTGTTTTTACAATCATACTTTTTAAATCGTTCTTTGCATTTCGTAATCATTTATATATATATTGCCTATTTTTAAACTCATTCATTTTTTCTTTTCCTCTTGTTAGTCTTCAGTGTTTTAAATATTCTTTCATATTACCTTTGCATTCCCGTCAAAGTATAATAATGAATATATATAATTACCACATGCATTGTAGCTGTTCAACATCTGCTTCAAAATAATCTTCATCACGAAAAATGTACTCTTGTTCAATCTGCTTTAACTATGTAATAGAATTAGACATTTGGATATTCCACCTAAAATAGTGTTTACGTCCAATCAACAATAAACAAATTCTATCCGTTGAACTTACATAACTTAAATAAATTTCATAAAAATAGGTACTAGATTTATATCATAATCTAAAATGAACATATCTTACTAAACACTTGCAGGAACATGAAGCTCAACTTTCAGGCACTGCTTCCAGTTCAGCCTATTAATTGCGCTGCTGCTACAACATATAATAGCCCTCGTCATCAACATGGTCGTCACCGTTTTCATCATCGTGGTTGTCATCGTGTGGCGTATTCAAATTAGTGATATCCGTCCCCTCTATCTTTTACCTGCATATAATGAGAACTCTCGCAAAAAATGCAACATATTTAATAAATATTTGTTTTCACAATAATTCGAGTGAAACTTTTTCCTTCTTTTTTACTTACCTGATAATACTTACCTACATAGATAAATGACACTTATATTTTCCTGGCAGTGTTGCATCAGGTCCCACTTACAGAAAAAACAAAAAACAATTACAAAGTAGATACAAGGAAGATGGCATCATTAAACTGAGTCTTAATCTTTGAACTCGTTCCGGAGTTGTTGATGGTGTATATATATATATATCAGAGTGGTGGGCCAGATCTTGAAAATGATCGACTTTCTCTTTCCGTAAATGTAGGATGTGAATAAGGTGAACGCAGTCGATGGACGATAGCTGAACGAAGTCGGCGCGGTGGGTCGTACAGGTGCATGAAGTCCTAGGTGCATGAAGTCCTGGATGCATGTAGATATACTGCATTGCAGAACCTGAAAGACATGAAGAGAGCGAGTTCAAGCTATTTTGCAATATCTAAAATGTATCAACACATCTGATGCCAATTTTAGGTCATAATTACATAATACTTGGTAGAGCATGGAACACAAAAGACTGCCAAGGAATAGGTGCTAAAGGAAACTAGTGAAGTGAACAAAGTATGTGATAGATGTTAGTTCTGCCTTCAATGAGTGTTACGACATATATCTCTAAAAAGATCTTCTATTTAGTATCTTCTTCTTTGTCGTATTTCCTCATATTTTCATGAATAGACCTAGTTTAATTGTTATGCTATGAGAGTACCAATACGACACATATCTTTTTAAAACATCTTCTCTTTCTTCTCTACTTCATTGTTGTATTTCTCGTCACATCGGTATGTAGTATAGGATAAGATTTGAATATTTTAATGTGGGGATATTACCAATAGTCATTAATGCCTTGCTAATTACGATTGCTATGCATTTATTCTCTAAAAGACCATTAATTCTAATACAGTATTTGGTAGGAAATGATTTCCACACTGACTGTAAACAGGAGAGCACTTTTTTAATTTAAAAGAATAAAGTAAAGTAATGCTACAATAAATTATATCTTGATAATATTAGGTCTAACTAATTATAAAAAGCTAGTTAACATGGGAATAAGACCATAAAGATGTAAGTATATCTTACCACAGAGAGATTCGTAACGCGACGATAGGTGACGAGAGGTGACGAGAGGTGACGAGAGGTGACGAGAGGTGACGAGGGGTGACGAGATGTGACGAGACTTGATGAGATGTAACGTGGTGTATTCAAATAAGCATGAATATTCAAATTTGCCCCTGATTTTTAGAACGCAAGCCTTCCAGATATGGAACTCTAATTTTTTTGAGATGGGTTAAGATAATATCAAATTAGACCCTTACGCTACATTTCTGTAAATTAGACATAATGATCAACTTCCCCATTGGTGCCATGAACGTGGGATGTGAAGATGCTGTACGTAGTATATGGACGATAGCTTAACGAAGTCGACAAGATCAAAGAAGTCATGGATGTATGCAGGTACACCGCAATGAAAACCTGAAAGACAAAAAGGAG